GGATTTTCTGTCTACCAATGATAGAGGACCATGAAATAAACGGGCCCTGTACGGACTCCTGTACGAGTCTGAAAGCTCAGGATAATAAACGAAGTGTTCCGGTGCTCGACTCTTCTTCACTTATAAACGGACCCGTTTAGCGAATATACCGAAGAAGGCCGAAAATTCCATTTATTCGAATACAAAATCTTAAGAGGGTGCTGGTTTTTCATAAAATATCCACATAGAATAATATAATACATATAATTTTAAAAAACAAATTCGGTTGACAGAAGCATTTGGAATACGGGGGAATGCAGTTATAACTAGGTACCTTCCTCTCTGTCTTCAAATAACTTGGTTGGAAAGATCGATATGCAGAGCCAGCCTGCCGCGCTGAATAAAGTATTGACCGGTGTTGAGTAATCACTTGTAATTAAAAGCTTCAATCGGTTCTGAAATTATATCCATGCAAACATTGAGAAAACCAAACCCGGAGGACGCTCAAGTTTGACTATTTCAGCTGACTTCGTTTAATGCTGTAGATGTACTGAAAAATGACTTGCAATAATACGCTGTTCATGCCCCAAGGGTACATGAAATGAGTACCTAATTAAACTGCATCCAGCCTGGCCTCGGACACAGCACCTGAGATGATCGGCATCCAGCCTCACCTGCAAATTCTCTGCCACACCTCCTATAAACGATTTGCTGATGAACAAGTAGGCCTCTTTGGCCGTCGACCTAAGCTTGCAGATCGCAATTACTGACAAGAAGCAGATTTAATGAAACGGATGGCATAATCAGGAAACTTGCACAAGCACATGCTCGAGGGGATTCGAATCGTTGGTCTCTTGAAGTTGCTTCGACTGCTCTACCCCTGACCTACCGAGGCTTCAGGAGCCCTCAGATGTTTTATTCGTCTTGATCACTTCTTGTTTTTTTTTTCTAAACCAATGTGGCACTGCTGCAGATTTTGTCTCATGCCTCATAAATATTCACCCTGCATATCCACTTATTTTCGCCATATCCTGCCTACCCGAAAAAAGTGTCTTTGTCGTCTGAACAGGAGTTTTGGCGAAACTCAAGCCACCAGCAGAGTAAAATAATTGGTAGTTACGCCTTCAAATTTCCCCCAAACAGGTCAGACGGTAGTAGTTTAGAGGAAAACCACCAGATGTCCTACGGCTTGTAAATTTTAACAGTGCCCATCGAACGAAATATGTACCGTTTGCCGAGAATCGATTGACAAACAGTCAGCTACTGCAATCTTTCTTAGACCAAACCTTCAAAGTGCATGAGTATGCACGGATTAATGTGTCTCAATCTGTTGTGCTTAGGTTTGAAGACGAACCAAATTCTCCGACGCCATAAAATGTTTCTGTTCCGATTACTTCTAAAATAAAGGAAATCCGTTAATTAGTATTTTCACGAAAGAGCCGTCATTTTTCTGGCGACTTTCGAACCTGGTTTCAACTCCTGATATTACTTGTGTTTGTTTCCAGGTGCGACCTTTGAGCCCGGGTCGAAGTCCTCCAGCGCAGTCGTTGCGCCGTTTACAGAACGCGGGGTTTGCTTGGACGAAACAAATATTCGCCCAGAAAATTTAAAAGCAGTTCGCAATCTTCATGTGCGTGGATGAATGTTCGAAGTGATCTTGGCGTAAAAGGGACCATCTAAGGTCTACATGCACAGTAGGTTTCGTGTAGCAAGGGGCATACTTTTTCGGCTGTGCGTTTTATGCCAATTTTGTCAGGGTTGTTGGTACTATTTTTATCAACTAAACGAAGATGGGGGCATCTAGCGTCTTTTAAAAGGAGGATGCTTATGCCGAGCAATCCCTAAAATAAGATTAAAAATTTGAGGTTTGGAAAATAAGAAGTATTTGTAAATGATCCAGATGAAATAAAACAACTGGCTTATGTCGTCCATGTCGCTTATTTTTCATCATCTTTGGTAGAGGGCCATCACAGGAGTTAACAAGTTCAGACAAAGTAGACAACGAGCCCGACGACCGCCCTAGTTTCACTGTATTTCTATGAAAATTAATTATTTTATTTATAGTAATCTAGTAAGCATCGGGTGAAGACAACGACAACCACAAAAATAACATCATTCAAAAGAGGAACTCGCACCAAAATACTTGAAGAGTTGAAATTAAGTGCAAACATCATGCATCCTTCAGGGGTAAAACACGTTTGGCCCCTTCGAGTATGCTACGACAGATTATTTCACTTTGTGCATAGCTGTTAAAAGCTGTCCAGCATTATTCTCGGCCTCGGTTTCACCATCACGACATATGACTCTAAGTCACAGGAAAATACTTTTTAGTGTTTAAAGCGTTAGTTTTTCAATATTTGGAAGTATTGCTTTATTGAAAACCTCAGAATAATTTTGGAACTAAGGAGAGTTAACGCGGTTACACAAGGGAATAGATTTTTAATTTTGCCCTTATTAAATAATGATCTCTGGGAAGGAAGTACTGTTTTATCGGGTCCGGACATTCGAAAGAACCGAATCCGACTCCTTGATCTTGATCTACTAGGAGCCTGACTACTATATTATACTGCATTGCCGCAAATGTGGACTATTATTACCGTTTTAAGCAATTGAACACTAGACCAGTTTGTCCAGTCTTCTGTGCGGACAGCTAGGTTTGTTCATGGTGCACATAAATCTGAGTAGTAGCACCGATCGTAAATGGATGAATTGACTCGTACACGGCGGTAGTAAGCAAGACGAAGCATGGACGTTGAGTTTTTTATGGGGCTTTGGGCTGGGGTCCTTGTAGGCCTCTTATCTTTGTCTATAAACATTTGGCGTGACTAGCGTCGGTCACGTCGCACACGGAGGTTTATCGTGTTACAAATAAAGAAACCAGTTCAATAAAATGGACATAGAAAAAGTAGTCATACCGACTAATCATTTCTCAAGAACTATCATTTTTAGATGTATAGCCAAAGCTGCCGAAGAATGTGCGAGCAGAAGTTGCTCACCAATGTTTTGAAAAGGGTAATTTTAAGTCATTTTTAAAGGTTAAAGGCGTCGTTACAATTCACGGCAGTTTTCGGGAAAAATGGCTTATTTATACAGTCCACTCTAAACGGCAGGATGGAGACGAAGTTCAAAATAGAATATTTATCCTAAAAGGCTCGAGGGGGGTTTTCAATTTTTGTGGAATCTACCCTTTCATGAGTAATGTTCTCCGATGTCAGCTTAATATAAACCAAAATTTTTAACTACCTCGACTTTACATGAGACACATATAAACGAATTCTCTGCTATAGATACAGAAATGAGTAAGATGTGCAGGCTTTGGTTATCTTCAAGGCCAACCAAAGTGCCCATCTGTGTTTAGAAGTTAACTGGTTATTTTCTGAGTCCGTCAAGACGCCTTTTGCCGAAAATGTGCTTATTTTCTGTTGTGATCCGGGCTACAAGTTTTGCCGAAGGGTATTTCAAAGTTTTAGTGATTCCACAAAAAAGACGGAGCAGACGGTGAACTTCACTTATCAGGGCTGAGACCAGTCTCGCGGTAACAGGTTGATTTTAATCTGTTTTCTCAGAGCTGAAAAAGTCTCCCGCGTTTCTTATATCTAGAGCGCAGTAGTTTTTTTCTAGACAAAATATAACTTTCATTTCTATGTAAGTGGATATCGTACTTACGTAATCCTGACGTCAGTGGGTGAAAAACTTCGTTAACACTTAACTGAATAGCTACAACACTCCATATTCATACATCTTTGCTTTGTCTCATTCTGGCGATTACCGCCTCCTCAGAATGACGTCTTAGGCCGCTGACTTATCTCTCAAAGCGAAGCAACTTTTATTTCTAGTAGTTCGAATGACCTCATATGGTTTTTTAAAGCTAATACTACGGCTTTCACTTTTACTTAGGTAAAATTTTATCCAAGTAGAACGTTTCGTGGCATATACTATCCCCATAAAAATCTATATATAATATGAAATTCGAAAGTCGAAATGTCGCCCGAAAACCGAATGACCTGGTGATAAGAGCGGATCTGTGAGTTCCCGGAAAATGGCGGTCCTGCCTGTACTTTGCCAAATTAATCAGTAGTATCTCCCGACTGTCGTCAAACTGACGGCCTGTCAAATGTCTGTACAAGGAGTTTTTGGCTTATTCTGTTAGAAAACCATATAATGTCATTAAAATAAAACAGAAAGGTAACAGTAAACACGACTTAACCCGTACAAAAGTATTTATATCAGTTTCATTTTTATGATGGGGGTCAAAATTATCAAGGTACAGTCGGCTTATCATTCCATTTCAGATTAGAATTTCGGGCGAGGGCAGATCAAGTAACGTCGGCAAATTGGCCCAAAGCTCATCTGCTGAACTGCATTACTGTGCATACTGGATAGGGGTAGAACCGGAAGAGAACAGAGATTCTGAAAAAGCGATAGGTGAACAACCTCAGAATTAGTTACTTGCCTTCTTGTCAACCCTACCACCCTTCCGCCTTGGATTTCTCCTTTTTGTACAGCCAACACGGGCCCTCTTGATTTCACGACTAATTTATATATTCTGATCTTATTCTGCCTCAACAACCTAATGACATTAATTCAAGCCAGTCATTTCGAAGTTGGAACCGAAGTCTGTTGCATCAGACGCCCCTCATCGTTATCCCTCCCCCTGACCGCTAACACCTGCTCCCCGAAAAACTGGTTCATCGGAGTCAAACATTCAGACTGATTCCTGAGCAGGATAAGTTCCATGCCCACCGAAGTATCCGGATCCCCGTACATATCCGTCAAGCTATCTAAGAAAAGATGGAGACGATGTTTGCAACATTTAATCAGCAAAAATCGGTAAGTAAAAAATATTTATATTAGAGGCGAAAGGGTCGACTGACTGTCCCGTATTATCGAGCAGTAAAGGCACAGAAGGGTATAGGCGCAGGATAAGATGGTAAGGAAGCGTTGTCAAGATTGGGCCGGGCGGCAAATCAGGAACCCCCGAGAGATTCGCTTCGTTGCCTTTCAAGGAAAGTGGTAGAATTTCAGCGAACAACTACAGTGCGGCTCCTACAACGCGACATCATGGTGGCGAGAATAGCCACCTGAGTTGCGAAGATGGTTCCGACAACAGCGAGGAAGTAGGACCACTTCTGGTGAGTCTGCACAGTATAGACAATCACCGCGACCAGCGTGAGAGAGGCACCGATGTAGAGCATGACGAAGCGGGCGATGATTTCATCGGCTGTGGTGACTGTGGAGCACAAACTGACCAGGTCCATGATGAAGACGATTGCTAGAAGGGCTGTTCCAATGATGAGGAGGGCAGTCACCGCAATCATGAGGGTCCGGCTGCTGCCACCCCCGCGAGTACAGGAGTCGAATAGCCCGCCACATTGCCACTCGGGTAGAGCGATGGCCAGACAGAGGAAAACGATGGCGAACGCCAAAACCACTGCCGATAAACGCCGCATATTTCTACGAAGATACGTCTAAAGAACCGACTGACAGAATCTTGTGGTTTTTGGCCGAAACCTTGTCGTTTGTGTCCAGCAGGCTTCCGGGTGAGACCAATGGTTGGAATGACAATACACCTGTACTCCGATTGGCGAGCGGAAATAACGATTCAGCAAGCGCAACCAATCAACTCCGTGCTGTTGCGTCTGCTACCTGCGACCTGGTTGTGATTGGCTGTCGGTTAAATCTATTTTGCCGATGAAAATGTGTCGCGGCCGACGCGCATGCCCTGTCCTTGTAGGCCTTGTGGCGATCTATACGGTGTGGGCTAGGTATCCGTGTACGCGGCATCAGCTAGGGTTGTGTTGAACGTGCTTGGATGACTTAGAACAAAGGCTGTTGGGAAGCTGGCAAGACGGATTTGCGCAATCCAATCCTTGGAAGAGAAACTATGGTGTTTTAGGATATTCACACACGTTTCTCTTCTTGTATAAACGACACTGTGGTTGGGCGAAAATGCTGTTTAGGGTTCTCTGAGATGCTCATATTTTTTAAAAAAGAAGCGTGTAGCGTGCTATGCAAACGAGCTAATTGTTTCACTTTGTTACACTGTGGAACTTAGATTGGGTAGATTTATGCGCAATGATCTACAAATTATGGTTAGATATAAGTGCGATCAGACAATAAGCGTTTTTCGAAAATATGCCCATAGAGCCCGAGAAGAAGACAACTGATGGCGGAATTTGACTATGCATTTAATTTCATCGAAATAATCAACAAATAGGTGAAAGACACTAAAGTGACCCTCCTAGACTTTTGTACATTCTTCCGTCAACCATACCCTGACCACAGCAAGGAAAGACCTAAGAACTTCAGCTGAGTTAAAATCCTGATTTTCCACTGAACAACGGATACGCGCCCTGTAGGCGCCTCCTGTTAACTAATAGGCAGATAGGCTCCAGGCAGACTTTGCATTGGCACGCCGTCCGCTTGCACAGATGAAAAATTTTAAGGAACGAGTTGACACTGAATGAATCGTTTGCCTTATGTAACTAAACGTAAAACCAAGAGCCGGACAACTTCGGCGAGTTTTCGTGGATTGATAATCATCTTATATGGCAGGATTAAATTGGCGGTCTCGGGAACGGAACCATCAAAGAAGCCGTAGCAAGTCATCCAGAGCATTAGTAAATCAGGAATGTGAGCAGAATAACGTGCTTGAAGAGAACAACTGACTGGCTTGGGCGTCAGCGAACACGCTACTGAATTATGGTCTCATTGTATGCAAGAACTCAATTAATCCGACCATTCGAATGAACTAGGTATCTACAAGGGCCGCAATCAGTCGCAATTTCTAACAAGGTAACGTCAAGGTAAACCAGGAAATTTTTGCCCAATTAACACATCCACTTTACAGTATATGTGAATTTTTCGAACATAACTTAGTACTTATCCAAGGCTTAGGCTAACAACCGCTCAAATGTGGGTGGTTCTTTACCTTAAATAATCGCCTTTTTAAATGTTAACTTCTGTGAAATTGATTCGACGCCGACTATCAATATGTCTTAACTCATTCATGCCCTTCCGATGGCTGGGATAGCCGCTTGCCCCAACCAGAATGCTGTGGCTCAACGCCTCGCGACCAACCAGAACTAACAATTTATGAGTTCATCAAGAATATACGCGTTGCACGCACCTTTAACCAAGGCCAGCTGACTGTTGTGCCAGACCTAAAGAGAGGCCAATAAGGTGTTGTACGCCATGAACGGGAATAAGTGTTAGGTCGGCTACTTTATCTGATATAATTGACATCCGATTTGGCTTGATTGTCGAAACTGAGAGTTGGATCGAGATAACCCGCACATGGCCGAAATTTGAGTGAGTATTGCTTCGAATGAGTATAGAGAGCAGGGAGGGAGTTATGAAAAGTCAGCCCCGGTGTCCAGCCCCATTTTCACTCACCTTGATTTTACCGTTGAAAAATTATAGTAATGGAAAAATAAATTTGCCCTGACACTGCGCCAGTATCCCTA